GATTTTTCAACGACCAGTTGAACTGGTTGGTGGTTTTAAACTACTAAGCAACTCGTTTCTGCTTACCGTGCGTATTCGTTTATAATAATTAGGAAAACTTTTATATCGCGCGCGTTCACTGAAATGTGAAACAAAACTGACTATATATAATCGCGTCAATTATCGGGAACTGTGTCGAATGCTCATCTTCTGTTTCTATTAATCATCGAGATACTCGTTGATACAGTGAATGATTAATTGTTCAAATACCACGTATGTTTTAAATTTGTTTCAAAATGTTTCGCATAATACAGTTCCCATTATTAATATCAAAATTACGACGAAATTATAGAACTTGATGGATTTGGTGGGGAAAAACTTTCGCGATTTAATACAAATTATTGTGTCGTTGAGCTACAAGTGACCATGATAATAAATTGTCTTGGAATAAATTCAGGATGTTTCATTTCATCGTCAATAACCGATTATTCGATTATTGTGTGAAAATTATTTCTCAATCATTACAATCAATGCATTGTTCTTGAGGTTATCTATTATTTGTCGAATCTTTCGATTCGATAAATTCAATTTGAATTAAAAATTCGAGAAGCATGAACAATGCTTGTTGGATGTTGCTACGATGTAATGACCCAATGATTATTTCGAGCGAAAGCAAATTTTCTAAAGCCGATCTACGTATACATATTCGACGAACCTTTAGCCGATTTCGCCAGAGAATTCCTGAAGTTGAAGCAGCGACGAAGTTTGAAATATTTAATCCGGCGGAGTACGGCCAGCACAATATGTAAAGTTTCTCCTCTCCTGAATTCTTCACCCCGAGATGTTTTCCAAAAGAGGAGCTGAAAAACGTGAAACGAGAAGCGTAAGAAAGACGAAGGATCCATGCTGCTTGCGATTATTCTTTGGAATTTTACATTCCAACGCTCGCTCGCTCAAGAACTCGAGAATTTTCTTAATCCAGCGAATTTGGATCTGCAGAAATTTCCTCGAGTGGCGAGCAATAGCAATTCATAAACTTATACTTGAAGCATCGTTTGGAGCTCGAGTTTGCACATTCGCGAAAATGTTTAATTTATTTCTAACAAAATCTCCAAGGGACGAACGATTTCCAAATGTTGAAGTTTAATTTGTATTTACAAGTGACAGAAGCTTCGTGGATTTAGAATGATTTCGAGCCTGCTTTGAAAATCAATACTCCGATGGCGTTCAAGCTTCGGGATTATAAACTGAACAAATATTTAAACTCGGCAGGAAAAACTTTTTATTGAGGATTTTCACATTTCCAGTAACATAAGGGGCCATACTGCTGGAAAGTTTCGCGAATAAATATTTGGCTATAACCATTACGGCCACTGCAGAAATGGCACTCTCTGCAAGATGCTCAGCGAAACTCGCTGCTTTAATATTCTCTTTCTTCCCTTCGAACATTTCTGAATGAAGGAGGGGAATACGAAAATGATTTCTCAGCCACTTGGAGCGCGTAACAAATTGTACATAGTGTAATAATTCGCGTAAATGTTACAATAGATCACTTTTAAATACGGACTTTATAATTTTATCATTTTTATAATATTTCACATTTTTACGATATTGGACAGTGTTTTACGATCGTAGTAAATTAATTCAGTTCTCGATCAATCAATTTTTTTTTTTTTTTTTTTTCTAGAAATTATGATCCACTAAATTTGAAAGAATCTGACACTGTAGAGCAAAGGATTCAACGCAAATTAAGACAAATTAATGATCAAACAATCGTCGAAATTCTCAAACGTGATTACTCGAGTACAAAAAGAAAAGGGACAGTTTCATTGGTCCGCTTTTGTTTCTCGCTGTATTTTTACATCGACAGAGCAAAGTCGCAAGACAGTCGATGGTTTTTAATCTTACAGCATTGTTTCGTCTAACCAAGCCGAATCCTGCACAAAAGACGTGGCTTGATGAAAATTTTCGAGTCAACGATTCTTTCATCAAATCTCTCTTTCTCCTCCTCTCTCGACATTTTTCGTACCTTTTCTCCACGTTATTATTATTATTACTATTTTTTTTTTTTTGATAGAGAATTAAAGTTGGTGTTGAAACGTGGAACGAAGAATTCGTTTGACTTCTATTTCATAAATTCATCACGATCATTATTATCATTAATGAATTCTCCATCGCTATCCGAAAATTTACGTAAACTCGCTCGAAAATTTATTTCCATCCGCCGATTAGATATAAATTACGATTATTAAAAATAAATTAAAATTCGAGGCCCGCCCCTTCGTCCTTAACTGTTTTGTCACATTTTCTCGATTAACCAGGTCACGTAAAACGCGTTAGGAGAATCGACGTCTCTCTTAAACTTTTCGAAACGAAGAAAATTTCGAGAAGGAATTAAGGGGAAATCACACCGAAATCTGAGTTCCCCGCTCGAACCGCAAATTGCATCTTAACTTCTTCTTAAATGTTAAACGAAAAAACGATGGAACAGGTCTTAGAGTGTTAGTGCCGCTATTACTTTTGTCGCAATGAATCAGCCGAAATAAGCGCGTTTAATGGGGTAATAATAAAGGGGTTGGTTAAATGAAACTGATAGGGCATTTACTTTTCGTTTCTTTATACACGGTGAGCAACATAAGCACAAGAAGTTTACTTTCTACATTGTTAATCATCGAGTTGCAACGATTTGTGCGTTACGTTACTTAATTGAGAATCGAGGGATAATTTGTATCGCGAAATTAAATTTGATGATAATCGAATCGATAAAGTCAATGGTCGAATTATATATATCTAATTAATTCAATGATTACCATAAAATGTAATAATTTTGGAGAATTATATGGAACTAGGTGTGTAAAAAATTTGATTGGATATTTATACAATGAAAATAAAAGAAATCATAAAGATAATGATGGAGATAAATTAAATAACTAATGCCTAGTTAATGGAAAAATATATGGAAATAATCTGAAAAAATTCATAAATATTAAATACAGTATTGATCCTAAAAAAATACAATATTTGAAATAAATTTTTTATAGTAAATTCATAATGAAAATTCATTATATAATATTGAAATTTTATTAATATATTAATCGTGAATAAATCAATAATTACCAAAAAAAAACAATTAATGATAATAATATAAATATTTCGATTTCATTGACACCTGGCGAAAAATGTTCACGGCAAGTTATCGAAATTAAATTTGATGATAATCGAATCGATAAAGTCAACGGTCGAATTATATATATCTAATTAATTCAATAATTACCATAAAATGTAATAATTTTGGAGAATTATATGGAACTAGATGTGTGAAAAATTTAATTGGATATTTATATAATGAAAATAAAAGAAATCTTAATCATAAAGATAATGATGGAGATAAATTAAATAACAGATATCTAGTTAATGGAAATAATCTGAAAAAATTCATAAATATTAAATACAGTATTGATCCTAAAAAAATACAATATTTGAAATAAATTTTTTATAGTAAATTCATAATGAAAATTCATTATATAATATTGAAATTTTATTAATATATTAATCGTGAATAAATCAATAATTACCAAAAAAAAACAATTAATGATAATAATATAAATATTTCGATTTCATTGACACCTGGCGAAAAATGTTCATGGCAAGTTATCGAAATTAAATTTGATGATAATCGAATCGATAAAGTCAATGGTCGAATTATATATTTATTTTATATTACATATCTAGTTAATTTAATTACATTATATATCTAGTTAATTTAATAATTACCATAAAATGTAATAATTTTGGAGAATTATATGGAACTAGATGTGTAAAAAATTTGATTGGATATTTATATAATGAAAATAAAAGAAATCTTAACCATAAAGATAATGATGTAGATAAATTAAATAACAGATGTCTAAAAAAATTACAATATTTGAAATAAATTTTTTATAGCAAATGGATAATGGAAATTATATAATATTGAAATTTTATTAATATATTAATTCGTGAGGGAATAAATCAATAATTACCAAAAAAAAAAAAACAATTAATGATAATAATATAAATATTTCGATTTCATTGACACC